TCTTTCCAAGTGGCTCTTGGTTGTGTCAAACTGACAATTAAAATTGACCACTGCTGCGAATGAGTGCAACCTGCTGTCATATTGCTAAAAGAAAAGGAGCCGAGCAAAAATAAATAAAAAGCTTAAGCCGATGTGAGATACTCACAGAGAAGCAGTCAAGAGTGGCATTAACAGGTGCGCGGCTGCACCATGATGCTCATAGGCGCAGGAGTCAGGGGTAGCTTGCAGGAGGGGCTTTCTTCTCCTGGCCGTGGGCACTATAGTTAGCAGTGAGTGAGCAGGAGAAAAACTGGCCCCGCAGAGATGCAACCAGGGCCTGGATATACCATGGATGAAAAGATGGCGGGCGCTGGGAGGGCTCCATAAAGGAGGCAGGAGTGGTACAGTCCACCTGAATATGCTCTTCTACACTTGTGCCGTGGAGAGACCAGCCTGAGAAGACGCCATCTCTGCCATTGTCTTAGCCAGTATCAGAGAACATAAGAGTATACTCAACAGTTGCCCTGGCAGGCATGAGTAGATCTGGCAGCCAGGAAGTGAGGTAAATCCAACCAGCCAGGCCTTCAGAAACCCACATGGAAAGTGTGAGTCCCAATGTCGCGCACCGCGGCTCCGGTCTGTGCTCTATGAGCTAGACCCCAGTTCACGAGCTTCGGGAAAGGGGGCTGGAGGTTGAGAATACTCACACAGAGACAGACTGACACACAGACCTTCAATCCCTGGTACCAAAAAGCCCTTCTTTAATGGCACCATGGAGGCTTAAATACACTGCAGTCAATGGCCAACAGGTGAAAATCTCATCCTCTGATTCTCTAAGCTAGGCACAGCTTCTAGTAACTTCACTTAGAAGGTTCTACCAGGGAAAAGCAGCTGAAGGCCAGGACTCATTTGTCCCAACATCCCAAAGCACCAGAGATGAGTCAGTAACTGGCAGTGAGGGGTGTGGGGCTCAGACTAGGGAATTCTGGAAGGAACATGAGTCGCACACAATGACTTAAACCATGTGAACAACTGAAGTTTGCAGCCCTCCCCATACCAGCAGAGACTACCATGAGAAAACATTCAAGCGAGGAGGAGAAACCACATCCATTCAAGTTGGAAGACATACTAGCTGAGGTTAAAGCACCTCCTGCGATTTCTCTCTTTTACTTCTAGTTTTATTGATGTTCTTCTACTTCACTTATTCTAGTTTCCTCTCTGTTGCTGTGATCAAAAAAAAAAAAAATGTGCTGACAGACAGAACGCTAAGGGAAAAGGGGTTAATTCAGCTTGCGAATCCAGGCCATGCTCCATCACTTTGGGAAAAGGCAAGAACTTGAAGCAGCAGCCACAGTCAAGAACAGAGAGAACGAAAGCCTGGGTTCCCTGGGCTCAGCTCACTCTCCACTTACGCCTCAGGTCTTCTCATCTCAGTAGAGACAAGACAATGCTCTCAGACATGCCCACATGCTAATCTGATTTAAGCAGTCCCTCAATGAGAGTCTCTTCCCAGGAGGTTCTAGACGGTGTCAGTTGATAATTAAAACCATCATACTTGCTCTGTTTTGGCTTACACCTTGTTTGAACATAACTTCCGTGGATCATCATATAGCTTTCCTGAACACCCCTTCCTGCCTGTACCTAGTCTATAGTTCCTGCTACTCCTCACGCTTCTACTCATACACTGACATTCTTCCAGCTCTAGTCCATGGGTTAACACGTTCCCTCTACTCATGCTTTATTCATTCCCCTTCTCCAACTCTCATCTTACCACTTAATCACTATTAACAATTAACCTACTTCCCAAACAGTTCCCCAGCACAGCCGTTGCTGAACCACATTAACACGGAGTCCCATCAGATCGTTACAGGTGTTACTGCTTGCTCACATCCATACCGGACGTAACTAACGTCTTAGTGCTCACAGTGCTGCCTGGGATTCTTCACTCCCACTTTGCGTCTAAGGGGTGATTTTTAAAATTGACTATTGTTGTATCTCTATACTGGGCCTTTCCACCTCCATCAGTTGTATTCAAAGACAGTATTCTACTCTTGAACAGCACACTGATCATGTCTGGTGCCCTGAACACTTAGTGGTCTTAACTACTGAGCTGTACCTCCAGTCCAGTGGAGATACTGAAATGGGTCTGCACTAATGTGCAGCTATTGCCATTGCTACTACCCCCCGTTTTCACTGTTGATTCTGCCAACCCATGAGTATGTGAGATGTTTCTGCATTCCAGCTATATCTTCAATTTCTTCAGGGTTTTAGAATTTGTACTGCAGAGAATATTTTGAGTTCTTGGTCCGATTTACCCCTGGATTTTTGGTTGGGGCTTTTTGTTTTGTTTTGTCTGGGTTTGGTTTGGAAGCTAATGTGAATGAGATTGCTTTCTTGATTTCTTTCTGAACATTCATTATTTATAAATAGAAAAGCTTCTGATTCTTGTCTTTTGATTTTATATCCTACTGAATATTATCATTTTTAAGGGTTTTCTGGTGGAGTCTGTAAGGCCTCTTATCATCTACAAATTATCATAAGTGGACTTCTTTCTTACTTGTATCCCTTCTAGTTCTTTGTCTTGTGTTAGTCCTCTAAGATTTAAAGGATCATGCTGAATAAGAGTAGAGGTTTATACCTAAAGGACTCTAAGGTAACATCCCTACACGTGATGGCTACTCTTGGTTGTCAACTTGACTATATCTGGAGTTAACTAAAAAAAAAAAAAAAAAACTGAAGGGCGCACTTGTGAGGGAGTTCTGCTTAGCTGGAAGTAGGAGGATCCACTTCTAATCCAGATCTTAAGGAGGGTACACATGCCTTTAATCTGGTATTGAGGCAGGAAGACACGCCTTTAATCTGAGCCACACCTTCTGCTATAGAAGTCTATAGAAGAACATGGAAGAAGGAAGCTTTTCCTCTTTGTGTTCTTGCCCTCCCTTGCTAGCAAGTCCATTCCTTCACTGGCATTAGTGACTACGTCTTCAGGATTCCAGTATCTACTGAAAACCAGCTGAGACATCCTGCCCTGTGGACTGAGAAACTTCTAGATTCTTAGACTTAGCCATTGTTGGACTAGCTGGACCACAGCCAGTAAATCATTCTAATAATATATATATATATATATACATATATATATATATATTACACTAAGCATAATGCTCCTTGCAGTACTATTTACAATAACATAGTTATGCCACTGTCCTATGTGTTCATCAAGAAAAGAATGGATAAAGAAAAGAAAAATATCTGTAGCATATATTACTGTTAAATACGCAATCCTTCCACAAAGTCTTAAGAGCTTTTGAAAGTCAAGGAATAAAAGACTACACACAGTCACACAAATTTAGGACAATGGGCAAAAGTCATGAAAAAATGCTTCCTTAAAATATGATAAACAAATGTCTTGATGCAGGACTTGATGCTCAACTTCTACAATACAGTTTTATTCTGCTATGAAAAGGATAAAATTATGTTGTTTGCTGGAAAATGAGCGCAACTGGAGACCATCCATTACATGAAATAAGTCAGACATAGGAAGACTGATTTTCTCTTATTTGAAGGACCTAGAATTCTTTATAGATATATAAACTCCCAACACACACACACACACACAGAGATAAAGAAAGGAAGAAGAGGAAGAAGAGGAGGAGGGGAGGGGAGGGAGAGGACACAGAGAAAGAACAAGTGCACACTTGCACACAGCATAAAGGCAAAAAGAACACCGAGAAAAGGAAGGAGATTAAGGTGAGGCTGTCAGAAGTAGAGCTGCAGGAAAGAACTGGAAAGACAGTAAATTATGCACCAGCATAATGCATGATGAATCTACACCAATAACTAAAAGGAAGACATAAAAAAGCACAATAGTAGCAAGGATGTGGGGAAAGAGGAACCCTTTGTCGCCGGTGGTGAGAATGCAAACTGGTACAGCCACCACAGAAAGAAGTATAGATTTCTTAAAACCCAAAACTAGGGGGCTGGAGAGATGGCTCAGAGGTTAAGAGCATTGCCTGCTCTTCCAAGGGTCCTGAGTTCAATTCCCGGCAACCACATGGTGGCTCACAACCATCTGGAATGAGGTCTGGTGCCCCCTTCTGGCCTGCAGACATACACACAGACAGAAGTATAGATTTCTTAAAACCCAAAACTAGGGGGCTGGAGAGATGGCTCAGAGGTTAAGAGCATTGCCTGCTCTTCCAAAGGTCCTGAGTTCAATTCCCGGCAACCATATGGTGGCTCACAACCATCTGGAATGAGGTCTGGTGCCCCCTTCTGGCCTGCAGACATACACACAGACAGAATATTGTATACATAATAAATAAATAAATATTTAAAAAAAAAACCCAAAACTAGAATTACCATATGACTGGGCTATATAGCTCCTGGGTCCTCCCAGAGATGCATACACAGCCACGATTACTGCTGCACTACTCATACTTAAGAAATGGAACCAGCCTAGAAGTCCATCATAAGATAAATTCATAAAGAAAATTTAACACACAATGGAATTTTATTTAGCCAGAGAGAAAAATGAAATCGTGGCATTTGCAGGAATGAATGGACCTGCATGCTAAGTGAAACATGCCAAACTCAAAACAACAAATACTCTCAAATATGGGAATTGGGATTTTAATGTGGGGGTGGGGGCTACGCACAGGGCATAGAATCGGAAAGGGGAGATGAGAAGGAATGAAGAAATCTCAAGCACCGAGGAGACGAAGAAAAAAGAGAGTTAAACACATGTGACATAAAAGCAGATGGGGCTGCGAGGTGCAGAGGGGACCAGAAAGAGGGGACAGGGAAAGATGAGGAGGAGGACAAAGTATGCATGGAAATACCCACTAGAATGAAACCCATTACTCTGTGGATTAAATTAAAAAATTTTCTTAAAATCTAAAGCTTTTCTTTTGAATAATAAGAAGCAAAGACGTGTTTAAATACAATGCACAATCTGTCTTAATTACATTGTTCTTAATTTTAGTTCTGTGAATGTCTACTAAAAATACCAACTTTCACATTACCAGAAGTGTTGGGATTTACTGAAGACATCAGAGAGTCCGCTTCTATCTAGAAAAGAGGAAAGATTGAGAGGATGTGAAATTCTATCAGATGTTTCAAAGTACTAGTTCTGAGTTCCCAGGGTACGGGAAGACACGTATTTTAAGTGAAACCAATTTTACTAGTAGACAGTAACCTCACTCGACATTATGATGGTCATTTTTCTTGTTCATTAACATCCACAAGAGATACTAATCTACCATAATGCCCCCCAAAACGTCACTCCATTGGCCATTAGCTCAAATATGAAATCAATTTGGCTGTCTTATATATATTACAACCTAAAATATAATCTTTCTGTTTTATTAAAAAAAAAAAAAACAATTGTTACAATGGCTTTATTCTTCCATTTTCCGGGGACTAAAAGTACCCCAAGCCAGGTGTGGTAGTTTCCAGCACTGAGACTGTGGCAGGATGGGAGAGACTGAAGCCTGCATGAGCTACACAGTAAAACCCTACTAATAAAAGAAGGTAATATAATAAAACAATAATACATGATCAGTGCAGAAACAAGAAGAGCATAAATTACAAAGAAGACATTTTAAAATTCAGTGGGTACCACAGTCAACAGTTTGGTCTAGTCTAACCTTTTGCTTGTTTTTGCCTAAGCAACACAAACCACTTGAGAACACATTATATGTGAAGTTCTGGGGCCTGCTTTAAGTAAATGTTAACACAGAAGCATTTCCCTCCCATTTCTGACAGGGGCTTTATTTGTAAACACTAATGAAACCGAGCCTTGATGGTAACTGACATTTTTTTTTTTTTCTGGTGCCTGTCTTGCATCTTCCATAATCTTGAGTCTCCGCAATTCCCTGGCTTCCTTGTGTCCCTTCCCAGTGGTTCCTACTCCATCTTTGTCATGAATTCCCTGACTATCTCTAAATGCAGGCTTCCCCAAAGCTCTTTCCTTGGAATGGTGCCATTTACACCCTGCAGAAACTTCCTCCAGAATGCTATTCAGTCTTATAATTTGAGCTGCACCTTATAAACTTATAGCCCCAAACCTATTTCTGGCCCCATCTCTCTACCCAAATGCAGTTCCCATATTTAAGAGGTAAAACCTCAAAACCCCACAGAGTATCTAACAAATGTACAGGGAACACCTCAACCCAACTGACTCCTCTGAACCCACTTCCATCTGGATTCACTCCTGCTTGGCAATGCTACCACTCTTTCTAGCATATTCTATCCGAGCAAACACAAGGGCATAGTTTATCTCACTGCCACAAAGGGCTCCTGGATGCTTCATAGAACATTAGTCGAGATTCTCTAGTCAAAATGACACCCATTATAGCTGCCCCCGACCTTGGCCCTCCTTCCTATTTATAAAATATCTATCTTGATGACTATCTGCTTTCTAAGCTCTATACAAAAACAAAACTGCTTCAAAGGAGAAACGGTGTCTATTCATCTTTACATTCCCAGCAACTACCAGGTACTCCTCTGATTAAACAGACTTAATAAACTCATTCTGAAAGCATCAATGTATAAATGACTTACTATCTAAGTCCTTTATGAAATGCTATTGTAGTGTGATGGTTGTCTAAAATAACAGTTCACAATTAATTCTTCAAAATCACATTCTCTGTGTTAGAAATTTTTTATATGTCTCATTTAATTGGCTGACTTAGAATCAGTATTTTATTTAATCAAACAGCATTAAGAATTCAACTCTAGCACTTAATCTCATATAAAATTTAAAATACAAGAAGGTATACATTGGGAACTGGAAGGATTGCTCAGTGGTTAAGAGCCTGGGCTGCTCTTCCAGAGGTCCTGGGTTCAATTCCCAGTACCCACATGGCAGCTCAACTGTCTGTAATTCCAGTTCCAGGGGATCTGACACCCTCATACAGACATACATGTAAGCAAAATACCAATGTATATAAAACAAAAATAATTGAACATTTCCTTGCTGAAAAAGTTTATTGTATACATGACTGGCAGGTGTTTAGGTGCTTTGCTATGATCTTGCTTGATTGCTGACTGACCTGTAACCAGCTATATATGTCATTTCCCTAAAAATAACATGTGAGGGCCAGTAAGGTGTCTCAGCATAAAAAAGAACTTTCTATTATGCCTGGTAACCTGAGTTATGCCTGGGACTCACATAGTCGAAGGAAAGAACAGACTCCCCTAAGTTGTTCTCTGACCTCCACAAACTACCCCACAAACACCCATCCACACAAACAATGTAAGTTTTTAACTTACAATATTTTTAACTCATTCCAGTATGCAAAGTAAAAGCTGTCAAATTTCGTCAAGTGTATGTACATGACCACACTGCTGTACCTGTCATTTAATCCTTCACCCAGTCAACAGTTAAAACAGACTCGAGGGCCATAAAAAGCAAAAGGAAATAAGCTATCTTTCCAGGTGAGCAGGGGCTAAGTACAGTGCTTTAAAACAGTCAGCCTTTTCAGGCCATCTGCCTTGGGGCTCCAGTGTGAAATGATTGCAGGTTAGCAGGGCTGCTGCAATTTCAGAGCCAGTCCAGGCTAGCACTCTGAACTCTTAACTGGCCTCTCAGGAGCTGAGCATCTCTGACCTTTTGAATCCTGCAAGCTGTTTGCAAAACTTACGTGTGTGTGTGTGTGTAGGTCAGAATATATGAGCTGTGGTGCACTCAAGCACACGGAAGGGTTCAGGAATGGGATATCACAGAGTCCCAGCCTACACTGACTCGAGGAACAGGGGAGCCCTAGCTGTCAGGTCTGGGAAAGTGGAGGGCATTCTAGGCAGACGAGTGCTGCTTCTGCTTGATGGTTGTAGTTTACTCTTTTGAATTTGGACAGTGTCTTAACTCTGCTTAGTTCCAGTTCAGCAGCTTAACGAATATGGATCCCTCTCTAGACTGCTTCTAACAGGCAAGCAGAATAGCACCAAGACGGGGTAAGCAGAAACTATCTACTGAAATAGAAGGTTCATTGGGGTTCAGCTGTGGTCTAATGACTGGGAAGCCAGCAGTGCTTATGAGAAAGTAACAGCCACAATGTTTCAAATGTAGCCTCCACTGTGGAAAAAGCAGTGTAGAAAGAAGAACCAGACTGCAATGCTGATTTCTGAGCAAGACATGGCTTCTGCACTCTTGAATTGACAACACCTGTGATACCCCTATACATGACTGGGTCTGTTAACACTCTGCAAGGGAAAGGGGAGAGGCTCATGAGAATGTGTGTGTGTTTAGACATAAAAGGATGCTCAAGTCAACAATGCAACAATGCTTGCAGGAACTGAAATTAATTCAAACAACAACCAAAGGAAAATGGACTAAAGAGAATACTATACATTATGACCTTAAAAAATATAAGGTCATAATGGTGTGTGTTTTGGAGTTGTTGCTAATGTGACACGTTAAATGTTAAAATAAGAGTAGGCAACTAATATTTTCAGAAGACTATGACTACACATGTATGTAGAACAATACAGAAGAAACTGACTATCTCATGGTAAGTGGAACCCTAGTCTAGTGGAAAGAGAAGGGATTTTGTGCACTCTATGAATGTATTACTTTTATCAATTAAAGAAAGCCACCCAGAAATTCTATTATACATATCAGCTGTAGGCAAATTCTTCCTATTACAACACCACCCCGCCGCCTAGCATATTCTCTCTAACACTATATTTCTAGAAATTTTAGGGGATGTTTTGTTGGCTTCACTGGTATAGATATTTAATTCGTGCCTGAGTTAGGCCTTTGTCGGGGAGGGTGACATTTTAGAAATGGCTTAAAAATCAGCTTATAAATTTGCTCTATAGATATCAGAAAGAAGCCCCGGCCTATTTTCTTATAACACGTTTCTGTAGCATTATCTATCCCATCCAAAGACGGGAGAAAGAGAGGCAAGAAGACGAGAGAGCAGCAGCAGAAGGGAGGAGAAATTAAGTTCTAACCTTGGAGGGTTTGTATCCAAACAGCATTACAATCGCAATCTTAAAGTCCTCTCGGCTCAAGTAGCCTTTGTTGTCTTCATCACAAGCTTTAAATACCTAAGGAATATTAGACACCTACAATTAGTCAGAAGCCAGAAACACAAACATGTAGAACCCAAGCTGGTTGTGGGGCTTTTAAAATGCGATTTCATTACCCTAGTTTTAATTCTCAAGCAATAGAAACGCTGAGTTAAGCTCGTCTCTCTGGCCCCCACCCCAAAAAGTTTAAGCGGCTGGATCTCTAGACTGACAAATCAAATCATCTAAGTCACTGAAATACACCACACAAAAGGTCAGGCCTGGGATTCGGAAGGTGATGCAAAGGGGAAGAGAGAGGCTAATGCAGATAGGGGTGTGGCGGGCAGGGAAATGATCAGAGTCCTGCAGCTGTAACTGGCCCAGGAGCAGTGACCAAAGTGGCCCTGGTCAAGCTGAATCCGAACTCGGGTCGCGTTCCTGCACCTACTTCCACCCATTTCCTGCGTTCCGAGGCACTGGCTTCGCATGCCCGCGGCCTGGCGCCTGCCTCTGACGGGAACATCGCCACGGACACCGACACCGACGCCGCCCAGGCAACCAGGCACCTCAACTTCTCCAGAGGGACCGCTAACTTCCCACCGCGGCCACGCCCACCTCCGCTGGGCCTCAACTTCGCCCGCGCAGCTCCAACGTCTCCTCCCATTGGCCAGCCTCCGAGCCACTGGCGTTGATTTCGTAGTGTCATTGGTCAAAGGGGCAGTTTAACAACGGGGAGGGGCCCCCAAGGCACGCCCCCGGCTCTTAGTCCCGCCCCTTCTCGGCTTTCTTGACTCCTTGCATGCCACTGAGGGAGACCTGGTGACTTTAGATTTTTTTTTTTTTGACGTGTTTTGATTGCTTTCAGGTTTTCTACCAAACTTGCGATAAACTCCCTTTGATTAGTTTGACCCACGTCTTTTCTAGACTTTGTAGGAGACAAAAGAAGAATGTGAAGAAGGCACATATACACACACAAATTGAACTCCAGGATTCATTTTTAAGCCAAACCACTCACTGCACGGCGTTCTCAGGACAGCTACTATGTTTATTTTCGCCCTCTTGGTAACCTCAGCACTTAACAATGTCTAGGACAGTTAAACGAAATGACCCGTTAGAGTGTTTACACTTAATTAGTCAACCTCCCGGGAAGCAACGAGACTGACTCAAGGAATAAAGCAAGAATCCCACAGCAGACATCTTTATACAAGATGAGGAATAATGCATTAGACCTGCGTTTCCCAGACCGGCTTATACTAGACGCATCAACCCTTGTGGCAGATCTGTGAGATTGACGGGAACACGCCCGTTTCAAAGAAGAATCATTCGAGACTTTGTATTTTATGGGAACTCGTTTAACTTTTCATCCTGCAGTAGATGTTAAAGTCTGCAGCAGCTGCCTTTTACTTCAGCCCACCTATCTGCAAAAGCACGCCGCAGTATAAGCCCTGGGAGCCAGAGGCTGCCTGAGAGCAGTCCCAGAGAGAGAGCCGGGTGTAGTTTGCTAATTAACTAGGCGAGAAGCTAGCGGGCAGCTTTCTGTTTCTCCTTTCTTAAGGAGTCAACGGGAAACCAGCGTAGAGAGGGTCGTGGGGAAACTAGGTTTCCCGAAGCACCCATGCATCCCTTTTCTAGTCTCCCGAGAATGCGGCGGGCTTTAGGACCCAGCGGCGAGCATCCGGAAGTGGAAGCAGCCCGCTGGCAGGGCCGCTGCGCCGGCAGGTTTGAATCACGCGCATGCGCGGGTGCGCCGAGGGGGCGGGGTCTCGGCGGCGGAGGACTGGCGGGTCAGGTAGGTGTCTGCGGCTGCGGGCGCCGGCTCGGGGCGGTCTCTGACGGCGGCTGTAACTCTGCGCCCGCCCTCCTGATGGCGGCACGCTGGCCGCTGCGATCCGAGGTGGTAGTTAGAAAGCCTGCAAGGCTTGGGCGGACCGTGAGGCCGCGGTCCTTGGGCACGGTTCCCTCCTCCCCCGAGCCCGGGATCCTGCAGCCCTTGCCCCCTGGGGCGCTCTGCAAAGGCGAGGGGCACCCCACGGGGTAGGCTCTGAGCCGCTCTGCCCTCAGTTTCCACGTCGGGGGACGGCCGTGAAATAGGGATTGTCTTAGGGTGAAATGAGACTGCACCCTTGGAATTGTGGGCAGAGCTGAGCGCCCGGGAAAGTTGACAGCTTCACGATTTGCTTAGCGTACCCTCAAATTACCCACTCTCCATGGCCATCTTCTTAAGCACCCAGTACCTGCAGCTCCTTCAGAAGAAGCGTCTTTATTGCCACGTGTTCAAAGAGATGTACCGGATATACTCATTTTAAAAGGTTAAACGGGCCAAGGCACTCCCGTTAATTAAAACACGGAGTGGGCGTTCCATTGTTTTTAGAATAAAATTCGCCTTTTAACCTACCTCTTCTCCCACCCCCTTCTTTTTGGTCCAATCCTATGTTACAGTTAGAACCCTGTTACCACCTCCTGGGCATTTGCAAGTCGGGTTCCGTCTGTCTGTAATGCTGTTCACCTGTCTTTAGCCTGCTGAATCCTTTTCCCTCCCGGGTCTCACATGCTGCTCCAGAAATGATTCCAAAGAAAGGTTATCCCTGTAAAATCTAATGAGCATCTAATCATCTTGACTTTTAGACTTCTTATGTGTTAATTTGTGCCTTTCGACCCAAAATTAAACTTGCCTAGATAGAAGCTGTACGTTGTTAACTCTTCATTCTCGGTTCTTAATTCTCCTTACTACTGGGGTCAGGGGAAGGACCATCCATGTGGGGGTTTGGTGCTGAGATCTCAAAGGTCTGTGTAGCAGTGTAAATGCAGTAGAAATACCCCGATGGGTCTGCTTAGCTGTGGGTAGAGGAAGCAAAGTTCTAAATGGATGCTTTACTGCATCAACATGTGTTCGTGTGTGTGTGTGTGTGTGTGTGTGTGTGTGTGTGTGTGTGTGTGTGCAGTTGTGGAGTGTCTCCCTCTATTGCTCTCTCCCCTATTGTGTTGAGTCAGGGTCTCTCACTGAAAGGAAGATGACAATTTCTACCCTGGCCATTGAATTCTGGATACTGGCTTGTCTCTACCACAATGTTGGGGTTATAGGTATAGGAATCATGCTGGGCTTTTAGATGGGTGGTGGGGATGAGGTAATATGGATTGCAAGCCCTCTTACCAACTGAGCCAAATCTCTAACCCTCCATGGACATTTTTTTAAGATTTATTTATTATGTATTCACTGTTCTGTCTGCATGTATGCCTACTGACAAGAAGAGGGCGCCAGATCTCATTACAGATGGTTGTGAGCCACCATGTGATTGCTGGGAATTGAACTCAGGACTTGTGAGAAGAGCAGCCAGTGCTCTTGACTGCTGAGCCACATCTCCAGCCCATCCACGGGCATTTTTTTCAAGGCCCTAATAAAAACCTCCGAAGACATTCTGATTCGCTGTCCAGTGAAAGGATTTCATGATTTTTTTTTTTCATCTTGGTGCAATGTTTGCCAAATTTCATTGCCTCAACTGGGCTCCTAGTTCTTATTTATTCTCTTTACACATATGCTGCTATTTGCCTGATATTTATTTGAATCCACTCCTGTGTAAATACTGTCTTTTACAAAGTAGATTTTCTTTGGCTGTTGTAGCTGTCATGGAAACACAAGCTTCGTTCTGCTGACAGGGAAACAGGGGTTACAGGTGTGTGTAGAAGAGTCCAGGGCCCACCACTGTAGTTCAGAAGCAAAATGCAAAGCATCTTTTCCCCACTACAGCTCTCTCTCTCCTTGACTGAAGGAGAGACTGAAGTGGAGTGGAAAGGGAGGTGCTATCAGTGTGGTCAGTGAGTGCCAGGTCCCAGGTGCCCCCACTGCAGGAAACAACCGGGCTGGTACTTGGGTGGGGGCAGGGGGTGAACCTATATTCTCGTTCTCATTCTTTTGACGTCACCGACCGCAGCTGCGACTTTGGACTTCTGTTGTACTGAGCACTGCCTGCTAAACCACTGGAAGAACGTCGTTAGTAGTCTGTCCTTGTCAGGCTGGGCCTTGAGAGCCTTTTGAGAGGTTTCCGAAGGAAGCTGGCCCAGGGGTAAAATGTGATTCTGACCAGATCCAGTCCTCCGAATTAGAAGTCGTTTCCTGCTTGATCTTGACATTTGCATCCAAGCAGCTTCTCTTCAGCAGACCTTGTTTTGGTAATGAGGCTGGTGACCTGGCGGTCAGAATGACAAGGTACAACTTCATTAGCATGTCACAGAGTCTGTTTGTCTTCCTAGTACTCAGCCCTTTGGCCAGGTTCTGAATGTCAGCAATCTCCAAACTTCAACGGTATGTGGACCACACAAAGGGATTTGGTTTTTGAGAAATGTCTTTTCAAAGATTTGTTTGTTTCATTTTACCAACTTGTTCTATGTTATTGGCAGGGATGCCCCCCTCCATGTGGTTCTAAAAAATGAGGTAACACTCGAGAAATTGTCTAAAGAGTTTGGTGTCAGTAGAGATGCTTTCCTCAGAGCTCTCAGGGTTCCAGGATTCCGATTTATTGATCCACCTGGAGCAGAGTTGATGAGCGTGTCTTTGCAAACTGTGCCCTTGCAGCGGCCAACGTGTGAATGATAGATCAGCATGGCATCTGTGCCAGGGTGACACAAATTGGTGAAATATTTCATATATTGGAGACGGGGGGGGGGGGGGGGGGGGGGGGGGGGGGGGGGAAGACTGGGTTTGGTGGTGCACACCTTTAATCCCAGCACTGAAGAAGCAGGAGCAGGCAGAGTGGTGTTCACAGCAGATCTGGACAAGACTCAAGGGGGTCCGAGACCTGCTCTTTGCTTTAGAATGGAGAATAAATGTAGAGAGAAAGTCCCAGTACTTAATTTCCTTCATGTTTTTATTTTGAGCAATCTGGGGATGGAGCCCGCAGCTCCTCCTGACCACTTTGAAGGGTCTGTTTTGTTTTTAGTTTTGTGTGTGTGTGTGTGTGTGTGTTATTGTATGTATTCATGTGTCTGTGGGTGGTGCATGTGTGCATGTGGAGGCCGAAAGACAACCTCATTATCCAGGCTGCCTTTATTTGTTCGGGGTTTTTGGATTTTAATTAAGAAATTTAAATTAGCGTACAAAGTATCATGTCATTTACGAAGTGTGTTTTTAGTAGATCTGCCCGCCCCATCCTTCCCTGTCCCTGTCTCCTCTTTGATTTCAGGTGGCGTGTGTGGTTTTGCACCCCTCCCATGTTTCCTCAGCATCTTTTACCATCTCTTCATATCCTTTCTAGGTTTTTAGGTTCCACTGACATTTGCATCCATTTATATATATACACACACAAACCTATATTCATATGAGAGAACACGTGCTTTTTATTTTTCGGAGTTTGAGTCACCTCATTTAATATAATATTTACCAGATCTATCCATTGTAGCACGCATAATAAAAACCCAGAGAAGGATATTGGGGTTCAACCTGAAGATCAGAAAATCAAAGCAGCCAAGCTGCTAGACAGCTCTTACCTCTGTGAAATCTTCAGACTGAAAGAGAGCGAGTTTCTGTCTCATCCCACCTTATATTCCTCTCTAGTGCTGGGATTATAGGTGTGCACCACCACTGCCTGGCCTCTATGGCTGTTTTGCATTCT